GTGAGGATTAACATTTGGGCATGTTGAAAGGTCAATACCTGCCCAGGGGCCTTAGGCCAGGAAGAAGCCCCTGGGTCTTCCCAGTGTTTTAAGCTTATGAGCTTAAGATACAGATGGAGGAGGATTTCTGTTCTTTATCCCTCAGGGACTGAGTCAGGTTTGGCCGTGAGGCTGGTGAACGGAGGAGACCGCTGTCAGGGCCGTGTGGAGGTCCTGTACCAAGGCTCTTGGGGCACCGTGTGTGATGACGACTGGGACACCAGTGATGCCAACGTGGTCTGCACGCAGCTGGGCTGTGGCTGGGCCATGTCGGCCCCTGGAAGTGCCCATTTTGGTCAAGGCTCAGGGCCAATTTTCCTAGACGACCTGCGCTGCTCTGGCCATGAGTCCTACCTGTGGAGCTGCCCTCACAATGGCTGGAATTCGCACAACTGTGGCCATGGAGAAGATGCTGCTGTCATCTGCTCAGGTGGGGATGAAATATACCCATCTCACTCTCTGAGGTGGTCTTTGAGGGGAAGAAACACGCTATCCACAAAAGGCCCACATCCAACACTCTGAGATATTCTGTGCCTCCCAAGGTTTCTAGAGGCAGCAGGCAACTGAGATACAATGGAAAATAAAGTGTAGGGTCAATGGTCCTCACCTGTTTGGCCATCAACAGAGAAGGGCCAACATTACTTTCCAGCAACATGGCATAGTGGGTGAAAGGACCATCCGCAGTTCAGTGGGCAGAAAAAAATGGGCCTCTTCCTTCCAACAGAATCATCTGCTCAGTCTACACCCCATTTCCCAGGGCCTTACATTTCAAGCCGCACCTATTGGGAGTATGGTTGGAAAATGAACCACCTTCACACCTTCATGGTTATATTCTTCTGAGTCCTCCATGAAGCCTATTTGGAGAACAAATTGCAGTGTACATTGTGAATTTGGGAGGGCACTGAAGAGCAGTTGGGAAGTGGGGAAGGTACAGGGAATGGTAACTCACTACTACATGGAATCCTAAACACATAGGAATATGTCAATCGAATTGACTCCCTACATAAACGGAGAAAAACCATTTAAAACCTGGGAGCATTGCCCCTGGGTTGGTGAAAATGGTAGACCAACTGCCCAGAGTCATTCTTGCTGTTAATATCCAGAGCGAGTGCAATGGCTTTGGTGGCCTGTCCTGGGCCTGGCAAGGACATTCCACCTCCTGGAATGCCAGCCCTCAGGCTCAGCAAGGGAGAAAATGGCAGCAGGACAAAGGGTGGGGCTCCCAGAGGACTGAGCCGTTCAGCGTGGGCCCTGGCTCCTTCCACCCGAGGGCATGTGGAAGCATGATCTCAGGAGGTATAGGCTGTGTTTCTTAAACCTGCGGTCCAGTTGGGGCACCTGTGTGCTGTGTGTCTGATTCGTGATTCTTTGTCACACCTGATCCATCTCAGTCCAAGATCCAACCAGGTGAGTTGAGTCCTTACCCAGCCTACTCAGGTTTGTCTCTCTGCCCACCTATCCCTCTTCCCCCCAGGGTGATCAAATATCTCTGTTCTCTGTCATACCTGGGAGCACCTTAATTTTCCCCACGGTCACTGAGATCTTCGAAGGTGGCTCTTATGTAGGCATGGGAGTCACAAGAGTCTTATTTTCCCATCAATCCATGAGGTTTCATCCAGTTTGTGGAAACTGTCCCAAGAGGTGGCTGTCTGCAGTTATAAAGAACTAGCCACTTGTGCCCTGAATCTCAGCTGCAATACAATACGGGCTGACAAGTTGAGTGGGAGAATGGACGCTGATGACCACCGACTTCCCACTGAAGAGCTAGCAGGGCAAGCTGGTTCCTCTCCCTTACTCAGTGCTTGCAAAGGCCTCCAATTCTATGAAGTTGTATCTGCATCCAAGGAGGCCTGTACAGCATTTCCTGGGGATGGGAGTGCAATGGGTGATGGAGGTGCTCTAGGTACTGGGATACCTAGTTGGACTCCATGTTGACCCTCAAATCCCCTGACTCTTTATCCCAAGCTTCACATATGGCAAACCCCCCAGATCTACATGAGTCAATATAGAAGGTGGCAAAGACATACTAAGGGACAAAAGAACATGCCAGGCTTAGAGAGGTAGAGGGAGCTGGCTGACCTCACAAGGCCTTTGTCCCAGAAATGCTAAGGGAGCTAGGGGAGCGGTGGACTTTGCACAGCACACCCAGGTGAGGGTGGCAGGATATAGATGGACAACTATCATGATTCCTGCCAAAAACAGGTTTCCAAAAGCGCTTTCCATGATGTCTAGCTCTGTTTTTTCTCCTTTGTTACCATATCCAGAAACCACCAGCATCAGCAGCTCCACAGCTTCAGTAAGAGAATTAGGTGAATATTTCAGTCCTCTCTCCTAGGATCATTCTAAGCTCAAATTACCTTTGGGTTTGGAAGGGACAGGAGCCATCTCAGGGTGTGTCTTTCCTAATCCTTATCTGTGTGTGTGTGTGTGTTTGTGTGCGTGTGTACAGCTGGGGGATAAGAAGTCTCTGAAGATCAGATCCTGGGCCTGATCTTAGAGGTTGTCCTGCTGACTTCATTGGAATCCTGGGCTTATGTTCAGGAAAGGTCCTCCCCAGCTGCTCAGTGTAAGCCCTGGAGGCCTCTCAAGGGCTTGGACCATGCTTCTCTGGTGGCTCCCAGGCCCATGGGGTAGAGCCCTGAGAAGAGGAGGGCTCTGTGCTGGTCCTCCACCTTGCCTACCGACTTGCACTATGTCCTGGGATTTTGGCAGAACCAAGTCAGGATGCCTCTGAAGCCAATAGTTTGCTAATGAAGGCAAGGACTTGTATGTACCAGTAGCTTTAGAGCTCCATACTGGGTGTGCCCAATTTGGATTAGGCCAGACCACCACGTTACCTCCATCCAGGTCATGGGGTGTTACTTTCCATTGGAAAGTCCTTAGCCTTGAGCCGTTTGGGATGTCTCTGTTCCTTTACCTGTGGTGAAGTTTAATATCTGAGCATGTTGAAAGGTCATTACCTGGCCAGGGAACTTATGCCAGGAGGAAACCCCTGGGGGTTCTCAAACTTTAAGCTTATGAGCTTAAGGTACAGATGAAGGAGCATTTCTGTTCTTTATCCTTCAGGGACTGAGTCAGGTTTGGCTCTGAGGCTGGTGAGCGGAGGGGACCGCTGTCAGGGCCGCGTGGAAGTCCTGTACCGAGGCTCCTGGGGCACCGTGTGTGACGACGACTGGGACACCAATGACGCCAACGTGGTCTGCAGACAGCTGGGCTGTGGCTCAGCCACTTCGGCCCCTGGAAGTGCCCGTTTGGTCAAGGCTCAGGGCCAATTTTCCTAGACAACCTGCGCTGCTCTGGCCATGAGTCCTACCTGTGGAGCTGCACTCACAATGGCTGGAACTCGCACAACTGTGGCCATGGAGAAGATGCTGCTGTCATCTGCTCAGGTGGGGATGAAATATACCCATCTCTCACGCTGCGATAGTCTTTGAGTGGAAGAAACACACTAAGCACAAGTGGCCCACATCCAACAATCTGAGATACTCTGTGCCTCCCAAGGTTTCTAGAGGCAGCAGGCAACTGAAGTACAATGGAAAAGAAAGTGTAGGGTCAGTGGTCCTCGCCTGTTTGGCCTCAACAGATAAGGGCCAACGTTACTTTGCAGCAACATGGCATAGTTGTTGAAAAGACCATCCCCAGTTCAGTGGGCAGAAAAAAATGGGCCTCTTCCTTCCAACAGAATCGTCTGCTCAGTCTACACCCCATTCCCAGGGCCTTATATATCAAGGTGCACCTGTAGGGAGTATGGTTGGAAAATGAACCACCTTCACACCTTCATGGTTATATTCTTCTGAGTCCTCCATGAAGCCTATTTGCAGAACAAATTGCAGTGTACATTGTGAATTTGGGAGGGCAGTGAAGAGCAGTTGGTAAGTGGGGAAGGTACAGGGAATGGAAACTCACTACTACATGGAAAGCTAAAGAAACACACAAGAATATAGCAATCGACTTGAATCTCTGTAGAAATGAAGGAAAACCCTGTAGAGACTGGGAGCATTGCCCCTGGGCTGGTGGAAATGGGGTCTATCTAGAGCAACTGCCCAGAGTCATTCTTGCTGTTCTTATGCAGAGCGAATGCAATGGCTTTGATGGCCTGTCCTGGGCCTGGCAGGGACATTCCACCTCCTTGAATGTCAGTCCTCAGGCCCAGCAAGGCAGACAATGGCAACAGGACAAAGGGTGGGGCTCCCAGAGGACTGAGCGGTTCAGGGTGGGCCCTGGCTCCTTCCACCCGTGGGCATGTGGAAGCATGATCCCAGGAGGTATAGGCTGTGTTTCTTAAAACTTTGGTCCAGTTGGGGCACCTGTGTGCTGTGTGTGTGATTCGTGATTCTTTGTTACACCTGATCCATCTCAGTTTATGATCCAGCCAGGTGAGTCCTTAGCCACCCTACACAGGCTTGTCACTCTGCCCACCTATCCCTCCTCCCCCCAGGGTGGTATATCTCTCTGCTCTCTGTCAAACCTGGGAGCACCATAATTTTCCTCACTGTCACTGAGATCCTCGAAGGTGGCTTTTAACTAGGCATGGGATTCACAAGAGTCTCATCTTCCCATCAATCCATGAGGTTTCATCCAGTATGTGGAAACTGTCCCAGGAGGTAGCTGCCTGCCGTTACAGAGAACTGGCCACTTGTGCAATGAATCTCAGCTGCAATACAATCCGGGCTGACAAGTTGAGTGGGAGAATGGATGTTGATGACCACCGACTTCCCACTGAAGAGCTAGCAGGGCAGGCTGGTTCCTCTCCCTTACTCAGTGCCTGCAAAGGCCTCCAATTCTGTGAAGTCATATCTTCCCACAAGGAGGCCTGTACAGCATTTCCTGGGGATGGGAGTACAATGGGTGATGGAGGTGCTCTAGGTCCTGGGTTACCTAGTTGACTCCATGTTGACCCTCAATGCCCCTGACTCTTTATCCCAAGCTTCATATATGGCAAACCTCTCAGATCTACATGAGTCAAGATAGAAGGTGGCAAAGATATTCTAAGGGACAAAAGAACATGCCAGGCATAGAGATGTAGAGGGACCTGGCTGACCTCACAAGGCCTTTGTCGCAGAAATGCTAGGGGAGCAGGGGATTTGCACAGCACACCCAGGTGAAGGTGGCAGGATGTAGATGGTGACTATCACGATCCTGCCAAAAACAGGTTTCCAAAAGTGCTTTCCATGATGTCTAGCTCTGTTTTTTCTCCTTTGTTACCATATCCAAAAACCACCAGGATCAGCAGCTCCACAGCTTCAATAACAGAATTAGGTGAATATTTCAGTCCTCTCTCCTAGAATCATTCTCAGCTCCAAATAACATTTGGGTTTGGAAGGGACAGGAGCCATCTCAGGGTGTGTCTTTCCTAATCCTTATCTCTGTGTGTGTGTGTATGTTTGTGTGTGTGTGTACAGCTGGGGGATAAAGAAGTCTCTGAAGATCAGATCCTGGGCCTGATCTTAGAGGTTGTCCTGCTGACTCCATTGGAATCCTGGGCTTATGTTCAGGAAAGGTCCTCCCCAGCTGCTCAGTGTAAGCCCTGGAGGCCTCTCAAGGGCTGGGACCATGCTTCTCCTGTGGCTCCCAGGCCCATGGGGTAGAGCCCTGAGAAGAGGAGGGCTATGTGCTGGTCTTCTACCTTGCCTACCGAGTTGCACCATGTCCTGGGATTTTGGCAGAACCAAGTCAGGATGCCTCTGAAGCCAATAGTTTGCTAATGAAGGCAAGGACTTGGCATGTACCAGTAGCTTTAGAGCTCCATACTGGGTGTGCCCAGTGTGGATTAGGCCAGACTACCACATCACCTCCATCCATGACATGGGGTGCTTCTTTCCATTGGAGCATCCTTAGCCTTGAGGCGATTGGGGTGTTTCTGCTCCATTACCCGTGGTGAAGATTAACATCTGGGCATGTTGAAAGGTCAATACCTGCCCAGGGGCCTTAGGCCAAGAAGAAGCCCCTGGGTCTTCCCAATGTTTTAAGCTTATGAGCTTAAGGTACAGATGGAGGAGGATTTCTGTTCTTTATCCCTCAGGGACTGAGTCAGATTTGGCCGTGAGGCTGGTGAGCGAAGGGGACCGGTGTCAGGGTCGCGTGGAGGTCCTGTACCAAGGCTCCTGGGGCACTGTGTGTGATGACGACTGGGACACCAATGACGCCAACGTGGTCTGCAGGCAGCTGGGCTGTGGCTGGGCCATTTCAGCCCCTGGAAGTGCCCGTTTTGGTCAAGGCTCAGGGCCAATTTTCCTAGACAACCTGCGCTGTTCTGGCCATGAGTCCTACCTGTGGAGCTGCCCTCACAATGGCTGGAACTCGCACAACTGTGGCCATGGAGAAGATGCTGCTGTCATCTGCTCAGGTGGGGA